ACTTTATGAAAGGGATCTACGGCCTCGATTTCCTAGAGAATCGAGGTCATAGATTTCTTTCATAAAGTTTTTTAGTTCAAACGTGTCAATGTGTAGAATGAAATGTCAGGGTTTAGCAATGGATTTATGGCCTTAGTTCTAAGAACAATTGAGGCCAAAAGCCCTGCACGCATATATTCCTCAGACTGCAGATATAAATGTTAGGTGGAGCGGAGGGTCTACGGCCTCGGTTCTAAAAACAATCGAGACCAAAAATCCTACACAAAAATTTTTGTCAGATGAAAAGTTTTTGCTTGTTGGTTACGAAGACCTTATGGCAACGATTCCCTATTGAACCAAGGCAATAGACCATGTATTGCTTCGATTAAATTGAAACCGAGACATATACTGTCGCGAAAATTTAAAAATCGTCACCGCACCATGTTATGCTTTAGTTTCTCGTAAACCGAAACATAATGGGTGCATTAGTTTCCACTTTTTTACTAGTGTTTAAACATTTTAATGATTACAAAACTCATGTTCCTTAGTTTAACTAATATCATATTACACAATTCAATTCTCAAATAAGCATTCTCTACAAGATATTAATCATTTTCTAAGCTTTTCACTATGACAAAACATGTTACACAAAATTCTGCATAATTCTACATATTATACAAGTTCAAAATCAACTTAACAACTCAAATATAAAGTTTATCATCACAGACTTGGAGAATCACAAATTTACAGTTCTTGAACACCAAAATTCAAAATTTTCAGCACAAATAAACAACTCACATGCAAAAGCTAGAAATTAGCTTCCTTCACCTTTGATAAAAATTGTAGACAACTTAAACACCGAAATTCTCTTAACACCACATGATGCTACATCTACACATAGAAACATCACAAGAATGATCAAATCATACAATTATGATCACTTATCAAAAGAGACTTATATTGAAGGCTCTAACATCACATGCAAGCCAAAAGAAACTACATGCAAGAGTAAGAACAAATCGACCAAGAAAAGGCAGAAAATTTACTCACTCAAATTGAGAAACGAATTGGCTAGATTTGGAGAACTCGTCGCGAGGATCACTCAAGCAGTCTCAAATCTTCATATGAAGAGACAATGGGTTGAAATATATGGAAACATTATGAAGAGGGGTGAATAGTGTTTCAAAACGTTTTGCAAAAATAACATTTAATAACTATTGCGAGTGTTAGTTAAATTGTAGTAAATGTTAAGCGCTTGTGTTTTCAAGCAAGCATTTAGGCAAACATTTTAAATAGAAAAGCAATAACACAAGTATTTTTATACTAGTTCACTCAACTTAAGCTACGTCCAGTCTTCCTTAAGAACTCTTAAGGGGTTCCACTAATCTTATACAAGATTACAAACGACTATGAACTACTCCTGTTATACACCAAGTATTATCAATCACTCTTGGTTCCCCTAGATAACCTGACTAGTTTGAGTTTAGCCACTTTTGGTATCAACCCTAGACAACCGTCTAGAATGTTCAGCTTACCCGAGTTAAACAATACAAGTGTTTTAATTCTCTTTAGAATATACAAGCACAATCGTTATGTGATTACAAGAACATATTTGAGTAACTCTCAAAGAGAGGATAAGTACAATACAATGAAATCTAGTAACTTGAAAGATTTTCTGTTGTTCTATGAATAGACTTAAACGATGTAAGCTTATAGAGAGAATAACAAGATAACGATACAATGATAGCAAAAGTTCTTGTATTCTCTTGTGTGAGTCCTCCTTATGTAGCTTTCTTCGAGAGATAACCGTTACTCAGAGAAAGTTGACCATCTTGAGAGTAGGTGACTTCTTATACAAAGATTTGTACTTTTCTGCGTCATGGGAAAAGCAACATTGTTTTCGTAGTAAGATCTTGTACGACTGTGGCAGGACATAAAGCTTTAGGGAAATATTCCTGAAATGACTTCCTATTTCACAATGTCTTCCTAATCCACATGCAGTGCTTTTTAGTATATCATGGTATTTTTAATATTTGCACAGATAAAGAGAGCAAAAGCAGAACAGACAAAATATAGTATGTTCATGCATTTAATTTCTTGATAAAGTGTTGAAGCATGATTTGTAATATAAACATTTATCGTAAGTTTGAGCTTTTTAAAGTAATATCAATTGATAAGATATATAGTATTTACTACTTCTTTCATTAGATGTGCTTTTGTCAAATATTGTTTAACCTTTTATAATTGACATGTCATTGTTTATCTTAGCTAGAATTTAAGAAGGATGTTTCGATATGTACTTTGCTTAGACATTATTCTTCACTTAAAACGATATTTAGTTAAGTGTTGTATGTTAAACTTCGAAACTCGAGTTGCCAAACATTCTAGTCTCTATAGACGATCTTGTCTGAACATGGGTAAGATAACTTACAGAGAAGCGAAAAAGCTCTAGAAAGTGATTTCTAGAGAGACAATGTGTTTTTAAACAATGAAACTCGTTATTAACTTTTCTATTATACTAAATCATTTTAATATTAAATTAATCAAGTGTCAATATTTTTAAAACATCATCACTTCTAAAATACCATTTTTTAGATCTTTACACTAATAATAAGGTTTAATTAGTCATTTTATCCCAATTTTGGTTGAAAACTTTAAAGTCAATCCCATTTTTTATTTTTGTTTCAATTAAGTCTCAATTTTTAAAAAATTAATTCAATTAGGTTTTTTATGTTAGTATTGTACCAACGACCTTAAAGGATGCATGTATCAATTTTTAATTTTACTTTTATTTTTCTTAATTCCTTTTAATTTTTATCTCAATTTTTTCATTCTTGTGTAACATCCATGGTAGTGACAATGTCATGTGTCAATATTAGTATCACATGTTAGTGTCAGTACCAAGTGTCATTGTCTTGTATTCAATTCAGTTTCTATAAATATCTTTTTTATTCAATTTAGTCCCAATATTTTCTGAAAATGGAGCAATGTTTTCTCTCTCTAAATTGAGACTAAATTTAATATTTGTATAAATGTTATAATGATATTTTTATTACAATTGACTTTTTAATACATTAAATTAACACGTTGCACTTAACAATGACACTTGATACTAAATTCACATTATATGTGACACTGACAATAACACTAATAGTGTCACGTCACAAAGGAATAATTTGAAACAAACAAAATTATGAACTAATATTTTTTATTGTAATTAACTCAATATTAACAAAAAGAATGTAATTAAATCATTTTTTAAAAAATTGAAACTTAATTAAAATAAAATTAAAAAAAAACTACTTAGAAGTTTTCAATTGATTAAGACTAAATGACTAGTTAAGTCTAATAATACATTTAGCTAAATTTCATGTACTTGTATTGATATTTTGGTTATAATAATATTACTATTAATAAATAGACTATTATCTGTAACATATTGTTACTGTGGTTTTTAATATGCACAATTTAGTTATTAATATTATTTTTATCAATCTATATAATTTTATTATTTTACCCTTTACGTTTTGAAAGTATATTTTAGGTTGAATTAACTATTCACAACTAAAAAAAATATCTTATAAAATTATAAAAGTATTTATTTTATAACTACTTTTTATAATAAAATTAATTTAATATTATTTTTATTTTAATAATTACAATAAAAATTAACTTTTAATTTATTTCTACTATAATTAAAAAGAGCAAATACAGATACGACGTATTTATATGGGTTTCCAGTAATAATAAAAGAACGTAAATATTAATCGCATGTTTAAGTTCAATGATTTAATTAAACTTTTATATAAAATATACTTGTGAAAGAAGAAATAATTGAGCCACATTTCTGCATTTTTATTCAAAAAGATATTCTTGAAAATATTCTATTTTATTTTAGCACAATAGTAGCACTCAACCAAACTTAGTGGGTCTTACGAAGAATTAAGAATTTAATATTACTTTAATAATCACAAAAGTTAAACGTAAAGTTCTCTTTATTGACTTTAGCGAACGGTATCCCTTTCCCAGCAATCAATCATAAGTTCTCCACAAAATAAAATTGAAAACTTTAATCATCTTTTTTTTACAATCATTACACGTGAATCATTCAATTCTTCTTGTAAATTAAATAAGGGAAATACATGACATTGCCTTCTTTTTCTAAGTTTGTCTTTTCGTATTTTCTTTTTAATATTCTTATCTTGTTTTTCACTTTTTTAAAAGATCAATTAGGATCATTCACACGTGAAGAGAAGTTAAATTAGAATATGTGTCATTTTTTTCTAGACATATTTTGTTGTTATATTGATTTAGATAGATAAGAGAAATGGTTTTTTTACTAGTTTTTTATTTATTTAAAGGTTTAATACCCTATTTAGTTCTCACTTGGATAATCTTAATTCAATCCTCATTTTTAAAAGTGTTTAAAAGTGGTTCTCAGTTATTAAATTTTGCGTCAAAATCATCCCTTCCGTTAAATAGAACTAAACGGCGTTAACAGAGTGATGATCTGGCAGCATATAGTGCTTACGTGTCATTATTTGGCTGTCACAATAGAAATGCTTCTTTGACTCATGCGAGAGGTTGGCTAGGGAAGCTTCCCTATCTAGGTTCAACCCAAGGATTCACTACCATCCAGTCTGAACCTACTGGCTACCTCTAAGGTGGACATTCCCACAGTCAAACCCAAAGCAGACGCAACCAAGCTCTCAAAGAAACCCAAACGTAGATCAAACAAAATTCCCAAACCCAAACTCGAAATGGAAAATCTCACATTCGCAAAACGAAATAGAACAAAATCACAACCCTAATTCCATTCATTGCAATTGTAGATACACAAGAAACTCCTAATTAAAAACCCAAGAACAGGACCTCAAACTCCCAAATTGAACCCTAATCAGCACTACCGATCTGCAAAGAAGAAGAAAGGAAGCAGAGGAAAGGAAGCAAAGGATGGTGCATACACAAGCGGTAACGGCAACAACGATGATGAAGAGGATTAAAGCGCTGTCATTTGTGAATCATAGAACCACTGATCGAGTCCATGGAACTCCCCTGTGCTCCGTAGAAGCTGAGAATAACCCCAATAGTCTCTGAAGCGGCGCCCCCTGCATCACCGTTGGAGAATAACCAGACACCGCTGGAACATCACCGGAGCACGAGAGTAAGGTGGCCGGAAAATCGAGAAGGTGAGGAGGTCGAACCGCGGTAACGTTTTCGGGGAAGTTGAGTTTGGCTTTGTTACCTCTAAACCTCAATGCGGCCTCATCGTAGGCTCTGGCAGATCCCTCGGTGGTGTCGAAGGTGCCAAGCCACACTCTCGCCGCTTTGTGAGGATCGCGAATCTCTGCCGCCCATTTCCCCCACGTTCTCTGCCTCACCCCTCTGTATCTCCTCCTCCTCCTCTCGTCGCTTTCTTCCTGTGACGCACTCCGTGACGAACCACCCTCACCCTCACTCACGACAGCAGCACTGTCATCTTCACGCGCTCTTTTTCCCAATCGAGCCCGAGCCCAAAAGAGGGTGACACCAATGGGTCGGAACCGAACTACAGTACCCATTGCAACCGAAAGGAGAAGAAGACCCTAATTGGTTATATTCATGCCCTAAATAAATTTTTCCCCAAATTAAAAACCCCTATCTTAATAAAACATCGTATCTTTTATAAGTCAGTTACACGTCAGCATGCACAAAACAATATACTGACACGTTGTCAATAACTCGTGCCACATCATTAACGCACTAACTCTGTTTGGTTATACTTAACGGAAGGGACAAATTAGACGCGAATTTTACTAATTGTGGACATATTCCAAACACTTTTAAAAATGGGACTGAATTGAGATTATCCAACGAAAGTGGAGACCAAAGAGGGTATTAAACCTTATTTAAAATACCTTCGTGTTGTATAGATCCTCCAATTTTAGAATTTTCGCAATTCTGGTTAGTTCTTTGTTGGAAGTCTCACATCGACCAGAGATAAGGCCAAATTATAATATATAAGTGAGGTGCAAACCTCACCTTATAAGCCGGTTTTGTGGGGGATGAGTTAGGCTTAAAACTCACTTTCTAATATGGTATCAGAGCTAAGTTAGAGCATATCCTAATGAGTTCTATTGGACCACCCCATTAATTCTACTATCACACTCGAGATGTCTATACCTCGGCGTGAAGGGGTATGTTGGAAGTCTCACATCGACTAAAGATAAGACCAAATTATAATATATAAGTGAGGTGCAAACCTCACCTTATAAGCCAGTTTTGTGGGGATGAGTTGGGCTTAAAACTCACTTTCTAATATTCTTAACTTCAAGCTTGTATAGATAAAGAAGTTATTATTATTATTATTAACTCTTTTAAATGAGTACAAGTTATATGTTTAAGTTGGCGTATGATTTTTTAAAGTTTATTCTTTAGTTGATATTGAAATTAAATAATATGTTAAACATTATGATTTAGGAGAAATTTTGATGATATGCTCTAAGGTGATTTTTGTATCCTTGTTGGATTGATTTAATTATTTTGCATGTGTTATGAAAATCCTTGTTGTTAAGGATAAAAGTTATAACTTAATAATAATATTATATTGTGACGAATGTTGGGTTGTATTATAATAATTGTAACTAAGTGTGATATTTGTTGTATAGTGAAAACTTGAAGATGAATATTTTAACTTGGTTCAGGATGTGAAGAAAATATGTTGAGTTTAAGAAGAGAGGTGATTTGAACTTTGAAGCAAAACCTTACTTTCTCGTAAAAGAATTCAAAACAAAAATTGAATCAATTTTTAGGGTAAAGTTTATTGAACAAGATTTTTGAGAAGTTGCACCGATTTACCTTATATTTAACGAACAAACTTAAAAGAGAGAAATAAGAAAAACACAACAAATTATTTGGTTCACTTCTCGAAAAATACTACGTTCACTTGTCTAATCACTTTAAATAAATCACTCTACTATGATCAAGTTATACATGAACTCTATAAGAAAAAAAAAAAGTAGAACAAGCACTATATCTTAAACCCTACAAGATCCTTACACATGTGAAACCCTTTCACAAGCCAATCTTAATCACCCTTATCAAGAAAACTTACAAAATAATAAATGAAAATAACATTTTAAACAAGATCACCAGATTATGATTATATAGGAAAAAAAAAGTAAACTCTTATTAAAAACAATATGGTAAACGATTTTGACCAAAGAAATTTGTAGAACAATGTTTGAATTTTGATCTTTGACAAAAATACTTTCAAAAAGAGTTTTAGGAAATTTTTTTAGTGTACTTAAACTTTGCTTTCAAAAATACTCTCTTTCACTTTATTTATATTAAATCATTTTGAAGATAAAAACACTAAATAAGTATATTCAACTATTTGAAAACATATTTAACGGGACTAAATAGATGAAAAGAAGTTTTGAAAGCCTAATTAATCATATGACAACACTTTAACTTGTTGAAATAACTTAGAATGACTTTTTTAGTAATTTTAATTGAATGATTTGTGTTTCAATTGATTGAAATAAAGAAAGTTTATTATGAATGTTTTAGGATTTTAACAAGTTGAAAAGTTTGGACTTGAATAACAAGCCTCAAGTGAAGTTGTTTTGATGATGATGTTTGAAAATGTTGATGTTGAAGATGTATTGAGTATTTTAGTTTTCATTTCGGTGTTTGTAAGTCTTTCACACAAGTACTCACAAGATTTTAAGTTCAACACACAACATATATTAAAATTAGTAGAAAAAAAAAGTGTTTTGAAAAGTTACAAACATGAAAAAAGGTTTCATAGTTATGTTAATTCATTAAGGTTTTAAATAATATATTAAACTTCTTTTGAGATGTTTCTTAATAGAATAGTCAATGATCTATTTAGTTAACTATTAGAGTAAATTTCAACAACCTAGAGTTTTAATTAAGTTCTTAATTGCAAAAATTAGAAAGCAGGAAGAAGTTCTGTGTTATAAATGTGGTATAAAAAGAAAAAATCATGCAAGTGTTGGTGATAATAAAATGATAGGCGCAAAAAAACTTTAAGCTGAAATAAATGTAAAGAATATTCTTGAAAGCCTAATTTTGGGTTGTAGAAAATGTCTTCACCATTGCCACCAAGAAGGTTTGTGCCAAATACAAGTTCTATTCAAATATCTCTTGGAAATCAAGCTACAATTGTTTTGTTCACCATCTATCTTGACACAAACATATTTCAACTCTAATCCAACTACCTACCCTGTACGATGAGCTCTCACCATGTTTTGGAATGAAATGTTATGCAATATAGAGATATAAGTACTATTAATTATCAACGACATTGTATGAGGAAGAGAAGAGTAATTAATGTTCACTAATGAAGAAAAAACTTTCTATGTTGCTTAAAATACGCTTTCTATGATGGTTGTACTGGCGACATAGATACAAACGACACAGAAAGTTTAAACCTTTTATAACGACTTAAAAGACTCATCCTAGAATGTGTTACTTTTTATAATAGTTAAAATTTAACCATCATATAAAGTGATTTTAAAAAAAAAATATTTTATAAAAAAATCATTTCAAGTTTTTTCATCACCATATTTTCCCAATGTAGAATCATTGACTAATATATGAAATGTAAAGACTCTACAAACAAAAATACACAAATAGGAGCTACCACAAAAAAAATTTAACTTAAAAATAAATTTCTACTTATGTTTAGTGAATTTTTCAAAATCTGTAAAAGTTGTAGTCAAACTAATATAGATTTGTGGTTAGGCACAAACTGGGCATTAGAAATACATAAACACAGAAACAAAAGCAAAACCAACATCAAGTCTAGAAACAAAAATGACAAAACCCAAAAGCAAGAAAGCACCACCTCAAAATGTAGCATTTCGTTTCATAACTTTGATTGTTGCACCTTGAAGGCATTATCTTCAATGTTTTCCACACATTCTATTTCCCTGGGGATAGAAATAAAATGGAAACAACAATTAAGTTTAAGGTTTATCAAACAAGGAAAGCTAATGCAATGAACGCTAAGATAAAGACTGGCCTTTCACGAGGAGGTTCCATGGCAGGTTCGTGCTCTTTGGCAGGTTTATGCTCCAAATTCCAAGTTTCACATTTTTGTGCTCAAGTCTAGAGTTTCTTTGAGATGTGAAGGTGAAAAAAAAATAAGTGTGAAGGAGAAAACAAAAAAATAAGCATTCAAAAAGAAGGAGGATTGTTATGAGAAATAAAAATATTAACGATACACTTATTATGATGGTTCTAATCCTCCCATCATAGAAAGTGTTTGTCACTTATTCTAAAAATACAACCACATCACTTACACTTATAGTGACGGTTGGATTTACAATCTTCAAAGTATATTTTGTAATTTATTATGAAAATATCGTCACACCACTCTTTATGACAATTGGATTTATAAAATGTCATAATAAATTTTCTATTTATTACAAAAATGTCATCGTGTCACTTATTATGACGGGTGAATTACAATCGTCATAAAAGTTTGTCTTAAAATCATGTTTTTTCAATAGTGATTACATGAAACACAGTCACTATTTCTCCATTACCAATCTCAATAAAGAATAGAAGAAACAAAGTTATTTAAAAGGAGTTGAAAACTACTTAACAACCAAAAATGGGATTGCAACGACTACTTTCTTATAATACTTAAATACTCTCCTTAAAGAATAGGCATACATAAAAAAAGCTATCTTTTACAAGTGTTTGAAACTCTGTTAAATTTTTTTAAGTCTTAAAGGTTTGTATAGACAAGAGTGGCTAAGTGTTTAAAACACACTTTAGGGTTGGAGTAGTTGTGATCGAAAAGTATATTCGTACGAGGTTAGATAGAGGGGTTATGATTCAAAAGAATACTTATTTGTACTTTGCAGTAGTATGTTGCCTTATGAAACTTAACCAATTGATCATGACCTACACTTAGTTTATTCTAATAGATAAACCATTGTAAAAATAGTGTGTAATTTTTCTCTCTCTTATATATTGTACTTATATTACTTTACCTACACTAAATTAAGAAAGAATAATCTTTTAAATTTTGTTTTTGAAAATACTTTTGACATATCATTTGTTGAGAAAAAAACTATTGTATCATTTTGCAATATAAAATGATACTACAAGAACTTCTAAAATTCAATTCAATCCCCCCTTTCTTGTGTCTTCTATTTTAGTAAAGTTAGTGTTAGAGCTCAACCTCTAAAGGGTTTAGCACTTGAGAACTTACAAAGTAAAAATATTGAACATAAGATGAATGCAGCCACAACATCTAATTGTAGAATGAGCCTCCCTTTACGGATCACCAACATTCTTAGGAGAAAATTGTCCATATTAGAAAGATCAAATGGAGTTGTATGTAACGTCCATACGTTATTAACTAAGTTAGATCATTACGTGTGGGGAGACAAATATTGCATCCCAAAAGAAGATCGGAAAGAAGAGTTCAAGCAGATGTAGTTGAATAACAAAACTTGATACACTCTCATATTCATTCTTTCCAAAAATGAACTAAAAAGGTTTGCAAACTAAAATGACAACCAAGGAGGTCTGGTATGTC